TACTTTGTCGATTGCTATGACTGGTACACTCTGGCCCAGCCAGAGCTTTAATTATTTTTTTTTAAAGAATTGTCTTGATGAGTGTATAGTGACAAGGGGGAGCAGCTATTGGGAACAGTGAACTATCCTGCAATGCTATTGTTTCCATATGTATCAAACCCTGATTGGTCCTAGTCATAGCGAGTGTATCTTGCTTCCTACCTACAACTGCTTGAGCAGTGCCTCAAGTATGTCCTTACTAGGAACATTTCAAAAACCTTTAGTTAGTTAGGTCTTTCGCCAAGGTTCCCTTGCATATATTTCAAGTGAATGTTGTATCCCAGACTAACCACAGTAATAACGTAATACACTTCTGTGAGTGTTGATTTGTCTTTGCAATATTTCTTCTCCGATTTATTTAATTGTCTTGTATTTATACGTTAAAATTGACAAAAATGTTAAAATTGCCAAAATAAATTTGCAGTTAAGCCCTTTAAGTTTGAGAACTTTCACAAAAGGAAAACATTTGTGATCTCTTTCCCTGGTGGTGGAGCTTGGAGGCGGTAGGACCACCCTGAGGAAGGCAACTCGACAGTAGCATCCTTTGGCAGGCGGCAGGCACGCTGTGACCGTGAAGTCGGAGCAAGGATTGTCCTGCCTCCCGCGATTGCTTTCTGAGGTCTCTTTTTCATTTTCCTCTTGCTCTTTCAAGATTATCTCTTTAACGCACGTTGACATTGGCTCACACAAGCCCCAGATTTGGATCCCCTCCAAGTGTCTGCTTCCTCAGCATCAAACAGTAGGATTTCAAGAAGGTGAGGATCGGAATTGGGGTTTCTGGGGAGCTGATTAGCATATAGGAGCCACAAATGGGGAAAGCTGGCCTCAACTCCACAAGAGGTGTCTGAGCAATCTCTCCTTCCACGATGCTCAGTTGCCTCAAAGATGTTGAGTACTAATTTGATGAGAGAGGTGGTGAGATACTCTAGATTTGGGGGTGAGATATCAGAAACCAAATCTCCCAAAGCAGATTATGTAAACAAAGTGTACACAAAAGGATACACAACGTCTGACAACCTTTAGGTCCTGCCCCCCACCCCTTATTTTTCCTTTTGTGCTTTGTGTCTGGCTACAGTCCTTAAACCAAATTCTCGTCTGTATTTTTACTTCAGACAGATAAGGGGCAGGACAGAGAGAATGTTCCTGAGAGGCATCCTCCTTTGGCTTTCAAATTGGTCCCACAATCTGAGACTCTACTGAAGGAGACAAAGGTGGTGGCAATATGAGGAGGCAAGGAGTATCACAACAGTGGCCAGTATTTGAAGGAGTATTTTCTCAGAACAGTTCGAGAATTTTTTTTGTTTCGTTTTGTTTTTCCCCCAAAACACTGCATTCATTAATCCCACAAAGTAACTCTGTTAACTTCAATGAACAGCATCATGATTGTTCTCAGTAAAAAGGGTGAAATGTCTTCATTGGAGATACTGGGTTGTGTCTAACGAGGTCACCTAGGAGGCAGGTTAGTTTGTTGAAGGTCATTTCCACAAAGAGCTAATTTACTGAACAAGCAATTTATCAAATGGACTAGTGCGTTGTCACTTTGTCTCCATAAGAGCATTTTAAGGACTATTGAGTTTTTCTCTGCTTCAGCTCCTCGCTACTGCGGTTGGAGTCTGAAGGACGGACAGGAGAAAGATAAGACTGAGTGGACATAAGAACATCATCTTGAACGGGAAGAATTCTTAGCAGTATATTCTTTTTTCTTTTCACCTTAGTCTCTAGGTACAGCATCAAAAAGTTGGGGTGGGGCTTCCCTGGTGGCGCAGTGGTTGAGAGTCCGCCTGCCAATGCAGGGGACACAGGTTCGTGCCCCGGTCTGGGAAGATCCCACATGCCGCTGAGCGGCTGGGCCCGTGAGCCATGGCCGCTGAGGCTGCGCGTCTGGAGCCTGTGCTCCGCAACGGGAGAGGCCACAACAGTGAGAGGCCCACGTACTGCAAAAAAAAAAAAAAAAAAAAAAGTTGGGGTGGACAAAAATTGAATACATTCTTCCAGAATGTGTTCTTTTAAATATATTTATAGGACTTCCCTGATGGCGCAGTGGTTGAGAATCCGCCTGTCAATGTAGGGGACACGGGTTCGAGCCCTGGTCCGGGAAGATCCCACATGCCGCGGAGCAACTAAGCCCGTGCACCACAACTCCCGAGCCTACACTCCAGAGCCCGCGAGCCACAATTACTGAAGCCCAAGTGCCTAGAGCCCGTGCTGTGCAACAAGAGAAGCCACCACAATGAGAAGCCCGTGCACTGCAATGAAGAGTAGCCCCCGCTTACCACAACTAGAGAAAGCCTGAGCGCGGCGACGAAGACCCAGTGCAGTCCAAAATAAATTAAAAAAAATAATAAATAAAATATTTATGGATATATACCTCGCTGTGAAGAAATCTTATGCTCCCTGGCGTTTCTCTCTTTACCTCTCAGTCTCAAACTAGCTGCAGGAAGCTGGAGCAGAGATATATTCAGCATTCTTTAAAATATTGTGATAAAAAACAAAATTATCTCCAGTCAACTAAAATTAAATTGTCATAGAAATTATTTGGCAAATTGGCTATTTTCAGCAAATTAATTCAAAACGGACCCTCTCTTCTGTGTCAAAGATGGTGTGCTTTTCTTTAGAGTCAAAGACCTGAACCCTCCAAGAGAAACATTTGTTGGTTTCCACCTTGGATGCTGACATGTGGCTCCCTGGGAACTTCCTTGGCAGAAGCCCCCCATGGCAGGACAAGGGGCAGACCCTCTGGTTGGGGTCAGAGAAGTTATACATGGTGCTACCTAAGGGTCTAATTTCAGACTTTCATCTTTATAAAGATCATGAATCAGCTTCAGAAACAACAGCATACCCCATCACATTCCATATCTGATTCTTAACAAACATTTGAGAAATGACTCGGAGATGGGTTTCTATTGGGACACAACCAGAGAACGTTTTCATGGATATAGGGACCAAGATATGGAGGTTTTATATCTCAGGGACATAGAAATCTAAGATATGAGTCTGATTTTTATATAGCAGAGCTTGTAGTCCAAAAAGAATCACTGAAATTTGCTTGGAGATTTAAAAGCTAAAAAAGTAATAGCCTTTCTTCTTTTTGGTTTTATTCCTGAATTTCAAGCTTATTGAAAAATACAGCTTATATGATAATATACATTAAAGCATAGACCAAAGCCTAAGAATGTAGGCTGGCTATGCACCAAAAGAGGTATATGTGTGTAGCAGAATTTACAGAGAGATCAAGAGACTGAAAATGTTTCTATCCTGGATGGAAATGTCAGGTAATATGTAAAGGTCATCAGTTATTTTCCCCCATGGCTACAAAATGGACTCTTGAAGAACTACTCACTGTGAACAAAGGCAGTAATGAAAGGAAGCAATAATCCCAGCTTTTAGTTACAGTATATGTGAGAGTTCTGTAAGAGTACATATTCACATTCCAAGAGATTTAATGGTGATAACTTAATGTCTAGTTTTATTTACCCCTAGACCATAGCAAATTTTGCATGGAGGCACATCACGTGGATTGCTGCATTATTTAAGAGCCAATAGTAAGAAAACAAAAAGTGAGATAATGGGTTTGGTGCTTTAGTCGAGTGACACAGATTTATGTTATGGAATTTTGAAAATGAACTTGGTTAAGGATGATACATAAGGGACCCAGCTGAACATGACTTATTTTCTTTCATTCATTCATTCATTCATTCAGTACCAATTGAGCTACAACTACATGCTCAACACTGTACCAGGTACGGTAGGAGATACCAAAACTGTTTCAATGAGTAACTTACAATCCAGTTAGAAAAACATGCCTCACGTGAAAACAATATGAGCAGTACATTGTTGTCAAATGATGATGGAACCAGCTGTGATTCATGAAGTACTTTCCTATGAGCCAAGCATGGTGCTGAGTGCTTTATATTCACCCTCTTGTTCAAAGCCACCCTAGGAGGTAGGTGCTATTATTATCCCCATTTTACAGATGAGAACATTGAATATCAAACAGCTAAAACATCCCAAAGCTCGCACCACTTGTAAATGGCAGAACTGGAATTTGAACTCAATTTGAACTGACTCGAAGACCTAAGTTCTTACTAAAGAAATTGTTATGGGAATTCAGAGAATGGGGAGGGCTAATAGAGAAGAGCCGAGCAGGCCCTTAAAGCAAAGACAAGCTTCAGATAGGCAAGGAGGAGGAGGCCTACTGGGTCAAGCATACAGTAAGTGCATGGAGACTAGCAAAGGGCTTGAGTTAAGGATATTAGCTGAGCTGTTCTCTGGAATTAATATGGGACCAGATTTTGGTGGAAAATGAATAGTGGGCAGAAGACTGTAAACACTGTGGGTAATGATAGGCCACGAGAAACTGTAATGTCGAGTTTCAAGTTGCAGGTCTGGAGATGGACTGCAGGCCAGGCTCGGTGAGCTTCTGCCAGGTGACTAGTGGCGAGGCCGCAGGCGCGGGGGGCAGCTGGGGGACCCTGCTCTGCCCCAGTCGCCCCCTCTCCTCTTCCCCCCTGGGCCCCACTACTCTACTTCCGCTCGTGGGCGCAGACGCGCCAGGGGCAGAGCTACTATTATGGTCCACGGAGGGGCGCCCAGGCAGCCGCAGTGGGCTGACCTATTTCTCCCACCTCTGGCGAAGGTTGGCAGCCCATTCTGGGGCCCTCCCCACGGCCGCTTAGGAAGGCAGCCTTATCCCCCGCCCGGAGTCAGTCCTTTATCTCCGCAACTGCGAGCTTTCTGCTCCGCGACGGCGGATCTAGGGGCGGTGCTAGAGGGCGGGGCCAGGGATGGGGTTGTAAGCTCATCTCAGGGCTGGGCGGGGCCGCCAGCGACAGAGCGTGTTAGGCGTGTTCTGGGCCTCAGGCCCGGCTCCGCGGATTCGGCTCCGCGCCGGGGGCGGGTCCGGGGGCGGGTCCGGGGGCGGGCCCGGGGCGTCCAGATGCCCGCGACGGAAGGACCTATTTCAACAGCCCCCGCTGAGGTCGACGGCCGGCAGGGAGGTAAGGGGCTGAGAGAGGCAAACCTTCCCGCCCGGAGCCAAGTTCCCCGCTGCTCTCGGGGGCCACCTCGTTTTCCTTCCCCCACTGGCCGCGACTCGGAGGGTTCCGTTCCGCGGCGGGGGCGCGGCCGGGGACTGGGCTGTGAGTCTGCTGCGGCAGGCGGGTCGTATAGAGTTCACGGCCGGCCCCGAGGCCGTCTCACGACAGCCCGAAGACAAAAAAGGCTCGGCGGGGGCATCGTCGCCCCACGCCCGGAACCCAGTTCCCCACTTCTCTCGCGGGGCCGCGAGAGACCCGCGAGCGTCGGGAGCGCTACGGATCTGGTCAAGGCGGGGCAGCCATAGCGCCAGACCCTTTCTCTTCCTCCGCGCCTCTCAGCAGTAAGAAGCTCTAGTTGGCTTGCTTTCCAATCATAGTTTGGTTCTGTCGTTTAAAAAAGTCCCTACCTCGTAACGCCGGGCTCCATCTCGAGAACTGACCGAGGCTTGTGAGTGCTTGGGAACCGGGCCCGCTCGGCGGCCGCAGCCCGGGCGTCCCACCTCCTTGTAGCAGGTCGAACGCCGAGGCCCCGGAGCAACGCGGAGATGAGGAGCCGGAGCAATTCCGGGGTCCGCTTAGACGGATACGCGCGGCTGGTGCAGCAGACAATCCTGTGTTACCAGGTAAGGAGGGACCACCCCGAACTACCATCTCGAGGCACTTATTCTCCTACCCAGCCCCCTCTCGTGTCCTGAGACTTTGCAGTTAAGAGGAAATTTCCTCTTTAAATCCGGTCCTTGCTGGCCGATGGTTACTCCCCACGCCGTCCACTTTACGAGCCAGGGGACCTAAGGGCTGTGCGGCTACACTGCACAGGATTCTTTGACCGCTGTTTGGGATCAAAGATAGAAGGAGCCCCCTGGGTGCCCTGGGTACAAAATGCGTCTTTGTGTATTGACTGCTGCTTTTGGATGGAAGGAGGTGTGTGTAGGTTGGACAGAGCACACTGAATGAGAATGGTGAGCTCTGGACTGCGAGGACAGTAGACGGGAGTGAAGAAACTCCTGAGGTGTGCATCCCACTCCGGGGTGTGTGGCGACTGCTGCTATTCTGCCCTTGAATTATCTTGTTAGAGACCCACCTGCGAGGGTCTTAGGGCTTACTCTGGCTGCCATTTTACAGATGAGAAAACTGCAGGCCAGAAAGGTTACTGCAGGTAGCAGGGGTAGACCCAGTGCAGGTTTTCTCCCAAGTTGGAGGGGGTCTTCGAAGCTGCCCATGTAGTCTGAGGTATGGAATGTCTCCTGTTTTGTATTACCCGGCTAAAGTTATGTCTGGGCCCATCATGTAAGGCCACTGGACTATTTTTATTCCTAGTGAAGACAACAGCTATGTTGCTTGCCCTCCATCAACAGCAATTATTTATAGGAGCTCAGAGAAGGAAGTGGCCTTCCAGGGTAGAGGCCTGGCCTTCAAGTTGGGAGCCATGGTCACTCCCAAGCCACTGACCCTTTTCCCTATAGCCAATTTCACAGCCTTGTTTCTTCATTCAGGAAATATTTATTGTGTACCTATTATGTGCAAGTCACTCTGTCAGGTGCTGGGCCTACAAAGAAGAATAAATACTTGTAGTGCAGTCAGATTTATGCGTAGGGAATAGGTCCAGAGTCCCTTGTCTGAAACTCCTGGGGTCAGATGTGGTTTGCAAGTCAGCAGTGTTTGGATTTTAGGAAGGTAATATACATATATATTCTCTAGTAACTGCAGTGAAGTCTAGGCAGCACCCTTAATCAAACACATTATTATTTTCCACATTGGAATATGAAGATTCACACTGAGTAGGAAAAGTAAAGACTGAAAGTAGTTTCACATCAGGTCACCTTTTGCTACCAAACGAGCTTGCTGCAAAATTATGAAAACACTTTAAATTTTCAGAGCATATTGGCTTTTGAAATTGCACATGAAGGACTGTGGTTCTTATTTTGGGAGCTTAGCCCAGTTTGGGGAGCAGGGAGGAGTCCTGGAAGAGACGATGTTCAAGCTAAGAACTGAAGAAGAAGTAGGCAGGCAAGTGGGGGTGATTTTTTTTTTTTTTGCCTTCCTCTTTGGAATATATTATAATTACTTCTACAAAGTGTTTTAAAAATCCAAGTTGAAAATCCTGGCCCTTCATTACTGTGATGGAAGGGGCTTTAAGGAGAACTGATCAAGCTTGGTTCTTGTGTCACACCTGGGTTTGAATCTCTAGCTCTTCCTTCAACTACAGGTGTAACCGTTTCCCAGCCTCTCTGAGACTATGCCCTTATCTGTAAAATGAGGATATAAACACCTGTGATTACTGCCCAGTATGTTGCCTGCCCCCCGCCCAAGTAGGCAGTTAGCAAATAGTGAGTGCTGTTGATGGTGTTATGATTTTGATATAGGCCACACATATCCAGGCCACAAGTCCTCGCCTCACCACCCTGGCCCAGGATGCTCTTTTTCCTGAAGGCCTTGATACAGCTACTAATTGCTTTCTGGTCTTTGAACATAATTATGTCTCCTCATGGATTCTGTGAGATCCTGAAGCACAGAGACCTCATCAGTTTCATTCCTTTTGCATCAAGCAGTGCCCCAGGCACATGAAAAGTACCCTTAAGTCCTTGTTGATAAAATATGCTCTGCAGACTCTGAGCCATCCTAATGACCCAGCTATTGATCCAAGCTTACCTTCCCTCAGGAGCAAAAGAACTGTCTTCCCATTAAAGCAAATCTGCAGCATTGGACTTTACTCTCCAACATTTTAATGATTAAAAAAAAGTTGTCTGAGCCTTTAGTTGTATTTATTTTGGGGGTAGTTCGTGAGAAGCCCTCATGTTTGCCCTGTTTTTCCCTTCCTGACTGCATAGTCAAGCTTTTCTGCTTAACCAGAACACTCCAAGTACGGTTCTGTTGGAAAATCCCGTGAGTCTGCACATGTAGAATCACTCCTTCCCACTTTCCCCCACCTCGCACCCATCCCGCCCCAACAGCTAGTTTTCACAGCTGTAGAGCCCTAACCCATTTAGGGCCTGGTCATCTTTTCTGAGTGATCTTAGGCAGGTCACCTATCCACTGTGTAAGAATGAATGAGTAATTTTATGTTATGCATATTTTACCACAATAAAAAATGAATGAGCTGGACTCTGAGTGAGTGGTTTCTAAAGTTTATACTATATTTCCCATCTCCTGTAGATAGGGGCAGATGTTCATGAGGCAGTTTTCATTGTCAGCTGGTACAAGGCTGACCTCTTTCTGATTTGTTGGGCTTTTTTTTAAAGTATAGTTGATTTACCATATTAGTTTCAGGTGTATAACTTGGTGATTCAATAGTTTTATAGGTTATATTCCATTGAAAGTTATTATAAAATAAGGGCTATATTTCCCCGTGCTGTACAATATATCCTTGTAGCTTCTTGATTTTATACATAGTAGTTTGTACCTCTTAGTCCCCTACCCCTATCTTGTCCCTCCCCCCTTCCCTCTCCCCACTGGTAATCACTAATTTGTTCTCCATATCTGTGAGTCTGTTTCTGTTTTGTTATATTTGTTTGTTTGCTTTATTTTTTAGATTCCACATATAAGTGATAAAACACAGTATTTGTCTTTCTCTGACTTATTTCACTAAGCCTAATACCCTCTAGGTCCATCCATGTTGTTGCAAATGGCAGAATTTCATTCTTTTTTATGGTCGAGTAGTATTCCATTGTATATATACACCACATCTTCTTTATCTATTCATCTGTTGATGGACATTTAGGTTGCTTCCATATCTTGGCTATTGTAAGTAATGCTGCTATGAACATTGGGGTGCATGTATCTTTTCAAATTAGTGTTTCTGTTTTCTTTGGATATATACCCAGGAGTGGAATTGCTGGATCATATGGTAGTTCTGATTTTAGTTTTTTGAGGTCCATACTCTTTTCTGTAGTGGCCGCACCAATTTACACTCCAACCAGCAGTGTGCTAGGGTTCCCTTTTCTCCACATCCTCACCAACATGTTATTTGTGGTCTTTTTGGTGATGGCCGTTCTGACAGGTGTGAGGTGGTATCTCATTGTGGTTTTGATTTGCATTTCTCTAATGATTAGTGATGTTGAGCTTTTTAAGTTGACATCAAGTTACATTGATTTCACTTGTTAGAAATCAGTGTTAAATATACCAAACTCGTAATTATTCTTTTGTTAGAGGCAATACTTTGTTCAGATCAGCTAGCATATCAACTAATTCCTTTTCCTGTGTCTGTGAAAGAGAATTTTTCCATTAGTCATTTGCCAAATGTACTTACTGCTAAATAATAAAGATTGACAAAACCAAAAGCCAGTTTTTTAAAAAGACTAATAAAAAGGCAATCACAATAGATGTAAAATTTTAAATTAACCAGATAATGGAAATTAATTTTTAAAAAAATTTAAAGATATATGTGATTTATAAGAGACAAACCTAAAACAGAGGATACTGAAAGTTTGAAAGTAATTAGTGAGACAAGATATACTAGGCAAATGCTAACCAAAAATAAGTTGGAGTAATTATATTGATACTAACATCAGACAGATAAGCTTTTGAAATTTAAAAGAATTCTATTAGGGATTAAGAAATGTTATTACTAGATGATAAAAGGATAATTCACCAAAAAAAATAGAGCAGTTTTAAACCCACAGAATACTAACAACAGAGCTTCAAAATGTAGAAAGAAAAACTTGACTTAATTGTTAACAAATCCATAACCACAGTGGGAGTTTTTAAATACCCTTCTCTCAGATACTAATAAAGCAGAGAAATAATTAGGACATAGAAAATTTGAACACTTCCATAAGAAACAAACTTGATCAAGTATACATACGTAGAATTCTGTGCCCAACCAGTAGAAAATACTTATTTGTTTCAACCTTGCAAAGTATATTTTTCAAAAATTGATGACAAATTAGGGTATAAAGGAAACCTCAAAAAATACTGAAGAGTCAACTTTATGCATACCACATTTTTTGACCAAAATGCAAGAAAATTAGAGAGCAATAAACAATGACTGCTAACGCCCCCCTCCCCGCCAAATATGTTTGGAATCCTACTAAGCCCACTTCTAAATATATTTAAACAGATAATGGATATGTACGTCATGAATATATACACACACATATATATATGTACACACATGATGTCATGGATCTAAGAAGAAATTATAATGGAAATTATAAAATATTTAGAACTGAATAAAAACAAAGGCATTCCAAATACCAATTTATGGAATATAGCTAAAGTGGGATGTGAAGAGAAGTTTATATCCTGAAATGTATAAGAAAAGAAGAAAGATTTACAAATTAATGAACTCAAGTTGAGAAAAGGACAACAGAGTATACCCAAGGAAATAGATGAAAGGAAATAATAAAGACAAGACCAACAATTAATGTAATATAAAACAAATAATAAAGATTGACAAAATCAGAAGCTAGTTTTTTAAAAAGACTAATAAAAAGGCAAACTTCTGTCAGGGTTGATGGGGGGATGGGAAAAGGGACAAATAGACAATATTAGGAGAAAATGGAAAAATACTATGAACAATTTTGGGCAGTAAATTTGAAAACGTAAATGACAGTTTTCTAGGTAAATGTTACCAGTGTTAAAGCAAGAAAAAATTACATCCTAATTAGACTATAACCATTAAAGA